GGCACTCACAGTTGCTCAAGTAGCTCATTCAGGGATTTGCCATCCTGAATCCCACTGCACAGGGTTGTGGGAGAATGCTGTGCCACTGCAAATGGTGAAATAGAAACATTTTAGTTAGCAAGCTTTGAGCTTTCAGTCAGGGCACTGAAAGGAGGAACAGGTCGCCTAGGACAAATGTGAGAAAGGGAATGTGCTTGGTGCTGCTGTCTGCTGACAGCAACAGAAACCAGGATCATCGTTTTTGTCACTGAGACCTGGCAGAATTCATGCATCAGTATTGGGGTCTGTCAGTGTCTAGGTCAGATGGACAGATCAAATTTAAAGTATCAACTGGGAGATATTGGTCCTGTAGGACACCTGTTTCCTTTGTGGTTGGTGGGCAACAGCCAGCCAGGGATTGGTCATGTGTTAGATCCTCACCAGTGAGAGTCCATGAGACTGCTGAAACTGAGACCTGCTGCTCAGGCTCTCCAGCCTGGGCTTCTGCTGGCACAGCTCATGCTTTGCATACCCTTCCTTGCTTCTCCAGTCAGCTTTGTCAGAGAGCTTTATCAGTTAAGGATGCAGACCTCCTCCCTTCATCAGAAGAGATGGGGCTTTAGCATGACTTTACTTGAGCAGAGAGAGTCCCCACAAGCAAGGACTCTTCTTCAATGTCATTGGGATGGATTTCAACTCTTTCAGAGAACCTGGCAAAGGGCAGGGACCACTATTTTCTTCATCTGTATCCAAGCTGGAGGCTGAACTGCCTGACCAGCTCTATTCAGCTTTTGAAACCAGGGAAACTTACAGAACCCAAAATACATTAGTGGATGTTTAAATTACTTTCCAAGTATCCAAACAGTTAAATCCATTGAGAGAAAATCTGGGAGTAACACATAGAAGCTGAATGGCATCAGGTCACTTGCGATGCAGCCCTGGTTCCTTGCACACTTATTTGGGATAGGGATTACCCCATGCCAGAATTTTGTCTTGTCTCCCAAGAAGTCAAAAGAGTCACAGTTGTCCCAGCCCTGCAGAATACTTTCCTGTGCTGGAGCTGACAATCTCCCTTCTCTGTTGTTAAGGCTGAAGAAGAGTTAGTAAAGGCTCAGAAGGTGTTTGAAGAGATGAACGTTGATCTGCAGGAGGAGCTGCCTTCACTATGGAACAGGTGAGTGCTGGCAGTTTTCCTAAGGGCTGACTGGAAGGAAGCGAAGGCTCCAGCTCTCTCCTTAGCTTGGGCTGGGTGTATGCTCTTCTTTTCTGGATCATCTCAGAGAGTCTGTCCCTGGGATTCCCCAGATTCATCCTGAGCTTTCTGCGCTTTGCTTCAGGCTCCTCCTGAAAAACTCAATTTTACCACAAAGAGAAACTGTGTTTATATCCTTTGTCTGATAAATCCGTTCACCCCATCAACTGTACCTGACTTTCCTGGGCAATGGCCCAGCTTCTGCTGTGGACAGCAGACAGAGCAGTCTGGGTCACTAAGATTTTGGATGTGGGGCTGGCTGGCTGGAAGGAACATCTGCCAGCTGAGTGGATATGTCAGCTCACTGTTGAAGGAAAGATGAGATGTTAGAGGAGTTTATACAGTCACTGCGGCTGGAGAGAGCCAAGAGGTGATGCCTTGATCATTGTGTCTCACCATCCAGCTTATGATCACATGGTGAAGCACAGGGTTAACACAAGAGGAAGGCTGAGAGTACAGGTTGTTCTCCTTTGGATGCCACTTGCAGGTTTGGGCAGTTGGGTTAAAAAAGCCAAGGGAAGGATCCTGGTGCAGCTGCCTTCTGTTGCCCCTAAATGTGCTCCTGGCTATGTGACAGAGGACCTGGTGAGGAACTATTTTATATAATTGTCCTGCTGTGCTCTATTTAACAAAGCCTATCCTGTGCAGAGGAAAATGGGCTGAGAGAACAGAAAGACCTGAGAGACCATGGATTTGCCATACCAGTGATTATGGTAATAAAAAGGAGAAAGAAACAGACTGGCATTTAGCTTGGAGGATGGACTGGAGGGCAACAGAAATATAGGGAGGGCCCACTGGAAAGCAGGTAAAATCCTCCTAGATGTGGCCTGGTTTCTTATTTTTAAATGCAGTAATCACATGTACATTGGTGATGCTGGTCTGTGGAGGATGGAGTGAGTAGGTGGCAGTAGGGCATGAAGGCAAAGTGTTAGTGTCTGCCTTCACTCCCCTTTCCTCTCAGTCTGGGTCAGGACTCAGCTCAAAGCAGCACACAGGCCTGGCCGAGGATGGAACTGGAAAGGGTGCAGGCATGTGGGTGGTTCCATGTGCAGAATGGTGATGCCTCTGGCCTTGGAGAGCAGCTCCCTCCTGCTGTTGCTCCTCCAGCTGGGTGCTGTTACAGCACTCCCTGTTGGTGGCTGCCAGGCTGGCTAGAGGAAGAAGGGTGGCAGGCAGCTGCGGGGATTTTAAGGTACCACAGGTTTTTTACAGGCTCCTGCTGTCCAGCTGATACTTCTTCTAACTCTTCTGCCCCTGAAGCAAACAGATCATGCTTTTTTGCTTCCCGCTGTGCTGAGGGACTTCAGACTGAATTATTATCTGTCTTTGTTCCGATTCCACCAGCTCTCCCCATGCTCCATGTTCCATATGTGTCACAGCCTACTCTATTTTTTCCTTCTTTCTTTTTAATTTTTTTTTTATTACTTTCCACCACTCCCCTCCCCTACCCTTTAGCCAGCACAAATTAGATCTTATCCTACCTGCCTGTCTCCTCACCTTGGACACGTTTGCACCATACCTGACGTTTGCTCCATCACCCCCTGCACACTTACCTGCCACCCTTCTCTTTCAGCATGTACCAGGCCTGACAGAGTCGAGTTTGAATGGGACTGGTGGGTGGGAGGTAGCAGAGGGGGCAGAACTGACATTTTTTTGGGAGAGCATTATGACCATTAAGTTCTTCTGTTTCATTTTTCATTTGGTAGTCGTGTTGGTTTCTACGTCAACACATTCCAGAGTATAGCAGGCCTAGAAGAGAACTTTCATAAAGAAATGAGCAAGGTAAGGCAACTAACAGCTTGTTCTACTGACACAGCTTTTCCTCACTGTTACTAAAAACAAATAAAATTCCAAAATAGAGGGAAAAAAAAAAAAGACATCTGGAGAAAAAGAGTGTTTGCCCTATGTCAGAGGAAAATATTAACCCTTCATTTTTTCTGAGCTGCTTGAGAGAAGGGCTGTCCAAGATAGTAATGTAAAGGGATGGCAGAGAGGGAAGAGACTACAGGGCCGTGAGGAGTTTGTGTCGCTTGGCAGGGCTCACTTGCAGATACACAGAGGGAAGGGAAGCCACTCTTGCTGCCTTTTTAAATTTGTCTGTATTATGGATCTCTGACATATAACCTGGGCACTCTCAGCCTGTTATCTATTTGGCTTCTCCTCTGCTGTCTGGAAGCAAGTTCCTGTAAACTGTCCTCTGTGTGGCTGTGGGGATGAAAACAGCAGGGAATCTACCAATCTGCAAGCTGGCTGAAGACTGAGACCTGCCTCGCTCCGCTCCCTCAGGAAGGCACTTTCCAGCAGTACCTCTCTGCTTTGTTTTCTTTCCTGCCCTGTGACCCCAAAGGAAACATTTGAGTGCTTAGCATGGCCCTTGTGTGGGCTACTAGTTGGTCAGGAGCTGGGCATCGGAGCAGTAAGCAGTGTTGTGACCTGGTGGTGACATGCTGGGTCCTGGTGCTGTGCCAGCACCCAGCAGAGACCTCAGGAACAGGCTCTGGGAGAGCCCCCCATTGCCATTTACAAACATATTCTCGTTCTTTTAGTTAAAAGCCAGAGAAGCCTTGAACTCCTTAGGTCTGTGTGCTGCTCCTGAGAGCTGCACACCCTCTGTAAACGTTGGAACACTTGTGTTCCCTGCCCTCCCCAGTGTCAGCCTGACAACAAGACAGCTGCTGAGCAACAAGCAGCGTCATAGTCCTGCAATTCCCAGCTGTCAGGCCCCTCTGCCTTGGTGGAAGGCATCAGTTTTGAGCCCTGCTAACATTTCATGGGGACCTTTCCAATTAATAGCCTGCTCTTCTCCACTGAGGCATGAACCGGTTGTTAAGAATAGGGAGGATGATGATAATTATCAGTTTGTTGCTGTTAACTTACATTCAGCAAAACATGGGAAAGATGCTTGTTAGACAGGAATGATATTGAATCATGTCTTGGATTTTTCTTTCCTAAGGAGTTTTGTATGAGAGCAGGGCTTTTGCTTTGTTCCATGGGAAACATCTGTTTCTTATTACTGCTATAGCATCCAATTAACTGCTGGTGTTGCTGGCACAATGCCTCCAACATTGATTGCATTGGATCCCTCCTCCTACCTATGATAAATCTGGCATCTCATCTTGTTTATGAATTGGCTGTTTCAGAATAGGAGTGTCTGGAGTGAGTATTGCAGCCTTCAGTGCTAGGGAGAGTTTAACCCCTAATATTGCATTTCTGAAAAGATATCCAGCTCCAGCCCAAACGTAGGTGGCCCAGGCAGCTTGTGAAGCCAAGGCTTGTTGTTGACTGGAAGTCTAGCTGCCTTAGGCTCCACAGCTGAAATGGCCATATCCCAAGCATTATAAGTAGGTCTGAGGAACAGCTTTGGTTTCAGACCCAAAGTGAAGCTTCAGTCCTAGCACACAGACCCTTAGGTAAGCACTCTGCCCACTTGTCCAATGGTACCTTGCAGCACACTGGTGGGGGCAGCTGATAGAGAAGCAGAGAGGATGATGCATAAGGGAAGCAGAGCATTCCCATGAGGTGCCAGCAGCTCTGCAGCAGTCAGATTGCTCTAGCCTTTCACACCCCACAGAGGAGTGGAAACACATGCAGGGCTGGCCTCTCTTGGGACAGTTGACTACATGCACATGTCTGGGCACAAGCCTGTGTTTGGTCAGTCCATGTAGGCCAGCCCAGACTCTCTTCTGGCACTTGGGCTCTTTTCTCATACTTTTTCTTTCTTTTGTTTTTGTATTTTGCAGCTGAACCAAAATCTCCATGATGTCCTGCTGGGTCTAGACAAGCAGTACTCAGGCAATGCCTTGCCCGTTAAAGCACAGCCCAGGTCAGTAACTGTGGGAGTAGTGTCTTTCCCTCAGCAGGGGAGGAGAGGCAGGGATGTCTCTACCAGGGATATTGAAAGCTCCATGTTGTCATTTGGGGAGTGATTTGAATACCTCCATATAGCCAGCCAGGGCTCTCCTGAGACCCCCTAGAGTGTGTCTACAACTGTACTTGGGGCTGGATGACACAGTGCACTAACTCTTACCTTTCTAGAAAAGCATCTGGAGGCCTAAACTTTCACTAGGTGCTGATATCTAGGCAGTTGACTCTCAGCTTTGCTTTTTTTTTAAAGTCAGATTTCATGCTCTGACATATAATACTGAACTGACCTTCCTTCTGGGTCCAGGTGCCCAGCACCTGTCCTATTTTTTCACCTCAAAAGCTTCGACCCTGTACCTGCAGCTTGTGAGCTTGAGCACCAAGAGTCCCTTTGTTACCTCAGCCTCCTTTTTGGCACTCCAAACTTACAACCACCTGTTTATCAAAGCCCTGTGTCCCTCCTGGGTACCCAGCTGAGGTGTGTTTCCTGTGTGTGTGTGTTGTGGAAGTAGTTGCAGCCTCACTAAGAAGGCCTCCTGGTCTCAGAGCACTTCTAATCTGCACATATGCAAGGAATAAGTATTCTCCAGGCCTTTAGTTTTCTTTCCTCAGCTGGGTCCAGTCCTGTATGGTTAAGTGCAAGTCTGCACATTCTCTAGCACTGAGAGGGGAGGGAGAGGTCGAGCTCTGGATGAGGCTGTCTGGCTCCCATCCAAATGTGTGAGTGATGAAACAGTGTCGGGCTGTGGCTTCCAGCTGCTGCTAATCCCACGTGCCGGGTGAGCAGGAGCACAGCCCAAGTCCTCACTTGGTGCATTGATGGAGGGAGGAGGTGAAGTCAGGATGAAGTACAGGCAAGTGGTGGCCCGAGTGTGTTGATTCGTAAGGGCTAGATCAGCTGCTGAGACCTCTGTGCTCCCTTGTCTCTCCTCCCAGTTCAACCTCCTGTTGCACTCATGCAGAGATGACTTGCATGTCTTGTGCCGGCAATGTTTGTGATGTTTGCCAGCTCTAAAGAAAGAGGACGTTTGAGTTGAATTTTGCCCCTGAATTTTGGGTCGCTTACACCAGATTTCCACATGCTAGTAGGGATGCTTCTTGGGAAAAAGAATATCTTCTTTCCAATTTGGTATGTGATGTCTGTTGATCATCGTAACCCAGCAAGACTGAAGCCTTGTGAGGAGCCTGTGGTTCCCATCCTCTTGCTGCCACCTGACATGTTGTCTCTGATGGCAGCATCCTCCAGGGTCCTTAGAAACCAGGACAGATGAAGGCTGTAGCCATTGCTTTGCCCAGCTTCTTCCTCCTCTACCCTTTCTTCCTCAAGGAAGTGATTGCAAGCTGTAGTGACAGCCTGGTCCGGACATTGTTGTTGTGCCATGAAGCTTCTGGCCTGAATGAGCTTCCAATACATAAACTACCTGTCCTCGTGATTCCTGCCCCATGAACTGCTGGCTTCATCTGGGGCTGTAATGGGTGTCTCAGCTGCAGTTCTATGCTCATTGGCTGGCTATGGGAGCACATGGCCCTAAAAACCAAAAACAAGTGACACAGAGGTTGCTGTGCAGGCAGCAATCTGAGTGCTGCTGCTTCATCAGCTACTCCCTGCATCTCAGCTGAGATGCCAGACCTGTCCCAGAGTGTCTCTCTTCCTCCTGAGCACAGTGTAGCAGGGTGTCCTTGGAGGATGTAGCAAAGGTTGGCCAGGGTAGTACGTATGTTTTGCAGTGACCAGGAAGTGCTGTGAGGTACTTGTGTCCCTCCTGCACATCTGGCCTTTCATTGTGACACAGGGCTGGAGCGAGAGGAAATAGCCCTTGCTGTTCTGATTGCTTATTGTGGTTGGTCTTCACTGGGAGCAGATGCTTCCCTAACCCTTCTCTACTGGGAAGGGGATTGGAGATGGATACAATGGCAGGAAGTGAATGAGGAGGTGTGAGACATTATCTGTGCACATTAGTAGGGCATTCATGCAAGGCCCTACAGGAGTATCACTGTGGCTGATGAATCTGGTGCTGGCTGTGTAGCACAGCAGCTCAGAGCAGCTGATGTATTTCTGGGAACTTCAGACGTATGTTTGGGATTTGTTTCTGAAAGAATTTGAACATTCAAGGCTCAGATGCCTAACAGACCTGGGAGATCTGTAGCATTATCCCGATATACAAACTGGACCAAGTAGAAAGAGCCATAGTAGGAAAGCTGCAGATTAGGTGCCGTGTACAGGACTGTGCACAGATGATGTAAGTAAAGGAAAATGGGGAGCTTGTTTCTTGTGTACCAGTACTTACAGGGGAGAGTGAGGAGCTGTGATTATCTGTGAAAAAAAGGACATTTACAGTTCTCTGCTGGTTTATATACAGTTTCCTTTTTTCTTCTCCGTGTGCACCCTAGCCCCATATTTCAAAGAGCAGGGAAACCACTAGTTTATACATTAACTCCCATATATGTACATCTTTGTCAGGCACAAAAAGCCCTCTCCTCCCCTCTCCAAGCTAGGCTGTAGCTTTCTAGGAACCCAGGGAAGTGTGTGTGTGTGTTTCAGTATGTTTGTATCTGTGGGTGTGAGAGAGAGAGAGAGAAGTGGTCTTGTCATCTTGGTTCCAGTGAGTTTTGTGGCACCAAAGGAACGGGTGCTTGGAAGCTTAACTTTTCCTCCCTGGTTTGACTGTGCCATCCTGTAACGGAAATGATTTGCGTGCCATCCTCAACAGAAAGAAAACTAAACTGTTCGCCAGGCTGAGGAAAAAGATGAGCAGGTACCGGTACGGAGAACAGCATTTCCATCCGTGTTTGATTTAGTTCCTAAAACTGGAGAGGCTGTTGCTGGATTCTAACAGCCTGGCACGTGTTAACCCTGTGATGGGAGAGGGGTCTTTTGCATGTTATGATGTGTTCATGGCCTGCTGGGTCCTGCTGAGATCTCTCTGTGTCTGGATAATCCCATTAACTGCTTGCGTGCCTGGTTTGAATCCTTCCTTCTTTTCCTGTCTCAGAAGGCGGTGTGAACGCTCGGGCATTGTCTGTTCGGTTGTGTTTGTGTGACTAAAAGCACAGTGCTGGGTTTTCCATGGGAAATCTGGGCAATTTTGGTGACTAACAATATCTAGTTTTACCTAGCAGGGCTTGCCCTTTTGAGCAGGTCTGAAATGCTGCATTCTCCTTCCCTGCCTGGCCAGGGAGGACCACGAGGCAGGTCTTTCACACTCAGAGGTCCTGTCCTATCTACCATGTGCAGCTGGGAGGATGATGAGTGGGGGAAAGACACTTTCTGCTTTGCTCCTTACTTGTGCTGTTCTTGAGAATCCTCATTATCTTGCTCCATCCCTTCAAAATTCTGTACAGGGCTGAAGGAAGCAGAAGCTTGTTGTCTTGTATAAAGACTAATGTCAGCATCTCGCCTTTCGAGACAGTGATGGCATTGAATACTGGATTGCTACAATGCCTCAAGTTATCATACCCAAGGTCAAGGACCCTGACAAGAACATGCCCTGGAGCAAAGTGGGAACCGCAGTACAATGGCATGGAAACTTCCTCTGATTTTTGTTTTTCTTAGTCTTTGTGTTGGTACTCCCTCCAAGAGGTCCTTGTAGGAAGGAAAAAAAAAAAAATTAATTCTCAAGATGATGTCCTGCCAGCAGTAAGAGCAAGTGCTGGTGGATTTGGATCCTGCTTCTCTGATCCTGGCTTCCCACTGAGCAGGACAAGTCACAGTACCCTTCTCTTTGTCTCTGCTATGCACCCTTTGTAAAGTGGGAGGTTGGAGGGTGGAGAATGGTTTTTATATCCTCAAAAGGAAAGTGGTGAATGAATGTCTTGTGTTGTTACTATTCTGAGGTTTCCTACTGTAGGAAAAAGGATTCTCAGGAGCACTTCTCCGGGTGTCTGTCTTTGGTCCTTGGATGGACTGGTGGTGTACCTGCACCAAGCAGGAGATCTGATATTTCCAGTTACTGAGAATGGACTGATGCTACAGCAAAGGGATAGCTAGTAAATCTTACCTTGATGAGCTCTAGCCACATCATCCTCCTGCTCTGCCCTGATAAAGTCCAACTGGAGCTGCAGTTAAGGTGCCTGACCCTGGCTCTGCTGGGGGTTTCTGTTGTCAGAGAAGCTGCTGAGGTCACAGGGAAATGTGTGGCCCCTGGTGCAGGAAGGGACGGGCTGGGACTCGGTGACTCCTTGTTCTGCAGCCAGAATGTACATTTGCACCACCGTATGTCTGGAAATGTAGGTACTTTCTCCTCTGTTCTCCTGCCCCCTCTTTTGATTTTGTGTTTTAAAACCAGCCTGCTTTGGTGCTAAATATTAAATTATTTCTGGCTAAAAGGCTTTATCTGACCCTTAGCTGAGATGCCAACCCTCTGTTTTTTCTTCTTAACTTGAGACCTTGGCAGGAGATAATTTGTCTGTTTTTACAGTATTGGAAAGTAGATTTCATCCTCTAACATGGGATTGTTACAAGCACATGGGAACCCCATCTGCAGATGTTACTCTGCTCTTCCAGAACAGATGAGGCAGCCCCATGAGGGGTCAGGGAGCTCAGCAGCACTAAAAGAGGTTAGGGAATTTTGGCTATCCCTTCAACTGCAGTAGCTGCATTATACCCTGTTCCCAGATCTCTATTTGCAGAAGAAAATTGACACCCTCTTCCCTTCCCTGCCTGATATTCCTGTATTGGGCATCACTTCCCAGCTGCTCATGGGAAGGAAAAAGAGAGAGCAATGACCTTGTTGCTTTGGGCTGGTTTTACTGTGGTACTCAGATTTGGTCACTGGAGACAGTCCCCACATTCTTGCTTTTCCCTGTGTTTCCTGGAGCAAGCAGTTTGGAGACAGGACTTTGCCCTATGTGGGCACTGCGTGCTTCCCAGGAACCCATGAAGGACAGAGGATCCTGGTGACAAGCTTCCTTGGTGCTGGTTCTACTGGCTAAATGTGTCCAAAGAACAAGTGCAGGAATGAAGGTGCTGCTCGGGGAGCTGGGAGAGGCTCAGCCAAAATTAGCAGTGGCATTTTCCTAGAGGGATCAGCCAACACATCAAACAAGCTGTAAATAGTAGTGACTTAATGAAGGCTTTAGTGTGGGGCCCTCTCAGCCCCTGTAGGGTGAAGGGAAGAAACTGGGCTGCCTCTCATGTGGGAGCCCTTTACTAATATATCTCCAAATTGAGTCACTGCCAGGCATCAAAATCAAGGCACTAAAACACTTGAACTCCATTCTCAATGGGAGAAATGGCCTCTTCAGGTCCCTAGAAGTAAAAGTCTACCCTTGTGTTGGTAGGTGAGTTGATAGCTTGTAGTCCCGATATTCCCAGTGTAGTCTGGGCATTTGAAGAGTCCTGGCAGTCTAACTGTCTATCACTGTGTCCCCCCATCTTCTCCAGAATTCTTTCAACTCTAGGGAAGGTAACATGGCTGGTTGGTTGTTTTTTTTTTTTTTTTTTTTTTCCGCGACTCTAACGTCAGAAGACATTTTCTGTCATATTTTGCTGTTCCCATTTAGATTCCCATTTGTGATTCCCATTTAGAGCAGAACTTCTTACCTTCACCCTCCAACTATTAATTCTTTTAGTCTGTCACACAGCTTGGTTAATTTTGCAGAACCCTTCACATTACCCACTGTTTTAAAGTGATTTCTGGACCTCTGAGGAAGGACACTATGGGCATATTCAGTCAAACTGAAGAGCAGGGGTTGGCATACATGTTCTTTAGAACTTCCTCTTCCCTTTTTCCTCTTCCTTTCCCTCTTTTTCCCTTGGCGTGTGTGGTTGAGAGCTGCTGGCAGAGAACGTCGTTGGGTTTGTTGCATCATGTTGGTGTGCTGCTGGCATCAGTGTCATCAGAAACATCTGACCTGCATGTGGACCTGAGAACGAGCACCTTGAGGGGAAATGTGCGTGTGGGGTGTGGGTATGGGGAGAAGGTGGGTGGAATGGGTGAGGGCGAAGTGAATGAAGAGGGAATGGGGAGCTTGAAAGCTGGAATGCTGAGCAAGGGGAGATGCTTGCTTGGAAGTGGAGGTTTGTTGAAATGCCTTGCTGTCCCTTTCTCCTCTTGCTGTCCCCCTACTCATGAGTGTTTAGGAATGAGGCCATCATGCATGTTAGCCACTGACCGCTCCACCTCGGGCATCCAAGTGTGAGGCAATGTACGTGTCTGGAGCTCTAGGCTCTCTTGGGACAGAGCAGAGAAATAATGGAGTTGATATCCCTGAAGAATCAGGTCTACATTATCTCTCTAGTCCTGGCACTATGTCAGGATTTATTGGCACAAATTGTAGTGGAGGGTCTGTTCTTTTCAGCCTTCTCCCAAGGCCTTTAATTTCACAAGAACTGCAACTTTCTAAGTGGAGGCAAATGTCACTCCCTGTAGATGAGGTTGCACAGCACTTTTGCAATATTTTGTAATATTCTGTTTTCAACTGTGTATAGTTTGCCAAACTGTAACAACTACTGCTAAAATATCCCCTGCCAGTGTCTGTTCTTTTGCATGACTTGAAATAAGTTGATTGGTTGCTTTTGGGAGAGCTGAATGATTCAGCTGTTCCTGAGAGTTAGGCTGGCAAAATGGTTTTACTTTTGGCTGTGTTGAAATTCTCCAATAACCAGCTTTTTACTAAATCTGTTATGATTCTGTACTTTGAAGCACAAACTTGATACTTGGCCAGGGCATGTCCTTAGGGAAAGGCGTGTGCCTCTTGCCATTCCTTTGAAAAACCTGTCCAAATCTGGCCAAGTAATGAGCCAACAAATACCATTGGCATACGCTCCTTGCATCTTAATTCCCTTAAGAATCCCTCCCTCTTGACTGTGTGTCAGAAACAGACCTGGAGTAAGGACCAGCTGGAAAGGCAAGGGTAGAAGTGGTTCATCAATGAAAACAAGGCTGGGGAAGCTTTCCATAGTAGAGAAATATTTATTAGTAGTCACAGTCTCACTGTTTCTTTGCTGTCTTCTTTCACAGCATGAGCTGTGAAACATCTGACTACTTTGCTGCTTCTCCGGCTTAGCTGGTTTATGCCACAAAGAGGACATTCTGCCATGGTAGCCTTAGTTCAGGTGCTGTGGATCTCTTTTCATAGCCCATGCAGGCAGGACATTCTGCCATGATAGCCTTAGTTCAGGTGCTGTGGATCTCTTTTCATAGCCCATGCAGGCAGGACATTCTGCCATGGTAGCCTTAGTTCAGGTGCTGTGGATCTCTTTTCATAGCCCATGCAGGTGTCAGTACATTGCTGCGCCGAAGAAATCACATCTGTAGAAATGAAAACTTGGTGAGCTGCACTGAACTCTTTATAAAAGACTATGACTTAATGTTAGGCACTTAAGTTAGAATCTAGCAGAATTAAGGATGCCTGATTGAGGTTTTGGGGTTTTTTTTGGTTTTGTTTTCCTGTGTCTGAGGCAAAGTGTATCCACATAGTAGGAATTCAGTGAGTAGCCTGCTGCACAATAATGCTGCTGCAGTGTGTTAGGCTGCAAGTGTCTTAGCAAAGATGCTTCTTGGAAGTTTGTAGAGGCTTTGGATGTCTTCACATGTCTGGGCAACAAAGCAAAGAGGCCACTGATATGTGGAGGAGTGCAAATCTTCCTAGGCCTGGCTCAGACATCTCTTTCTTTCTCTTTAAAACCTTTCTCGCTCCACTTCCTTCAGTGACAGCACCCCAGCGAAAGCAAATAAAAGCCCCTCGCCTCCACCAGATGGATCTCCCATCACCAGCCCTGAGACCAAGACTGTCAACCATGAGCTGGAACCGTCCACTTTGGAAGCACCGGGGGCCAGCATCCCAAAGTCACCATCTCAGGTAGCGTCCCCGTGACATTGACCGTGTCTCTGCAGTGTGACCGCTGATGGCACAAGCTCTGTGAGTCAAAAACAGATGTCTATCAGTTGCTTTTTTGGACCTCTTCCTGCTACTGAGCACAGGGAATATGACGTGACAGTTGTTCTCCTTGACTGGTTCCTGAGAATGCAGGTTGCTCATTGGTCATCTCTAGATCACATAGGAAAGAGCTAAGCTATGTCTGAATGCCCCCAGCAATACATGATGCTGACTGGTAGGATAGCCAAGAAGATCCAGGGAGGATGGAGGTGTAGCTAGGCAAGGAAGTTTGGTTCCTCACATTTGAATTAACCTGTGGAATTCAATGATCCTGTTTCTTCTCAACTTTTATAACCAAGGAAGATTCAAAGAAAAAAGTTTTAATATTTATAAGGAGAAAATATGTACTTTGCATGATGTTTTACTTTAGTCCCAAGATAAAATACCATGCTAAAAATAAAGGCATTATGTTCTTAAGCTGTGAAGAATTAGATGGGTACCAGGAAGAAGACTGCCCATTATACGGAGCCTGATACCCTCTATGTGGCCTTTGTTAATCTTTCCTTACACAAGAGATACCCAGCAGCATGTTTAAATTAGCAAATGTAGCTTCTAATACTCAGCATATCATATGATAATCTTTACTTGGACATTTAAGGAAAATAATACATTCACTTCCTTTTACCATCCCTCTATTGCTGAGTTGGGGAAAAGCATAGTAGGAAAAGTAGTAACTAGGCCAAATTTATGTCTGGTGCCAATCCTTGCATTTCAGTAAGTAGGAGGAAGGAGGAGTCTTCCAGGAAGAATTAAAGCTGAGGGGGTTGCTGGCCAATTGGTAAGAGAAGACCTATTGCTTCTGAAAAAACATGGGTGCAACCCAGAACTTCCTTGCTGTCATACGTAGCAGTGTGATTCCAAATCCAGGCCTGTGGTGTAAGCTTGTGTCTGGATAGCCTCTCACAATATTTTTCTCTCTGCTGCATTTTTGATTTTCAGGATTATCTAGGGACAAAAAGGGGATGTTTGTACACTGGCAAAAGGGCCTTTTCCAGCTCTGTGAGCTGTATGGATGCCTGGAAGTGTCTTTTCAGGACTTCTCTGGGGTCTCTGCACCACTCGGCATTGCACAGCGCAGAGCAGCTTCACCACCACCCTGACTAAGACCTTGGAATTGGGGACGATGTATGAGGGAGAGAGGGTAGTGGGTGCATCCATAATTGCCTTCCTGTTTTTTTTCAGAGATTGCTATGACTTGATTGAAATTGGAACAAGAAATAGTACAGATTTATCGAGCTGTTCACTGCAGACTTCACTCACACTGCCTGTGGACTTGCCTTGCTGAGCTTGACTTTTTCCCTTTCCTTTAAATAGCACACATAAGCCTTGTTTTTGCCAGCCTGCAAGGGCTTTCTCATTCACTTGCTGCCTTCGTGCCCGCAGGAATGGGGCTGGAGGCACCCTTGGTCCAGCAAGCAGAATGTTCCAGTGCAGCCCTGGCTGGAACCTCCGATGGGCCACGGGCAAAACAGAGATGGTATTTGCAGCTAATGCTGCCACCACCTGGCAGCTCTTTCCCAAGCTATGTTTAATTCATTCTCCTGGGCCTCACTAGAGTGAGGAACCAGAGCTCCACTCTGGATTTGCACTATGTGCTAAGAGATGGAGCTGACTCCGGAGGGAGGGAAGATGAGGACAGGATTTACATATTCGGATCCAAGCCTGGTGTCTGTATGAATAAAGTCTAGAAACTAAGTGTGTCTCAGCTTCCCAGCCAGCTGGAAAACACAAGAGTCTGCTCTCTCAACAGTGCTCAGCTTCAATACTGAAATCTTCACAGGTGTCATTACTTTTGGTCTATGGGTAAGTGATTTATTCTAGAGTCCTCCTAGGGAGGCCTCATCTTTTGGGGGAGGATGGAGCAAAAAGCAACAAGCTAGTACAATGCTCTGGCCTCTTCCTGTCTGAAATACTAATGCAAACCATAAGCAAAGGCTAGGGGGAGAATGACAACAAAACAGGAGAGACAAAATAAATACTAACTAAATTTTGAACTGTTCCCAATGCCAACAAATTTAGCTCTTTTACTCTGCTTTAATTCTTGAAAACGGCTTATTTCTGTCTTTTGGAAGAAGTGACAGCTATCATCTCTCTGCACTGAGTAATTTGATGATGACACAGGAATTCAGGGCTCTGTGAAACTTCAAAGGTCAGACTTTTGCTCTCAGTTACACCATTGAACACACTATAATGACACTTCTGAAGTCAGTGCAACTGTGTTGAGTTTAGACAGGTAAAGCTCTGTGGGATCCAAGTCAGCAGAAAAAAAATAGAGCATTTGTTTTATTATAGGTGGCAAAGTTGTTTGTGCTTGATGAACTTCTAGCTATAACTCAACATCAATATGTGATCCTGTTGTCTTTAAAATATGGTTTTAGACTGCTGTTAGAGGTAATGCTGGGCATGGTGGAAGAGGTGGTCTCTGAAAGCACAAATACATTGGGAGGAAGAAGACTGACTATTTTAGAGAAATAAATAGCAGAAGAGTTAGGATCTTTTTGACTTTTAGAGTATGTAATGGGAGCCTCCAATTTCTGCAGATGGTGCCTCTGTTCTGAGACTAGCTTTCCCCTGAAATTTCTGGTCCCCTCTTGGCAGCTGGCAAGCAGGGGATTTTCATGAAGGGAATGCTCAGGGAGTATGGACACATCACTTTCTGCCAAGAGTGAGAAGTTGAAATTGAACATACTACATTATTTCTCCATGCCAGCTACTCAGTGGAAAACGTGTGTTTGCACAGTCACTCATTTAAAGTAGGTTAACCCAGTAGAAAACTGGGCATATCCTTAGCAACCTGAATAAATGCTTTGTAGAGCTCAGTTAAATACTGGAGGAGTGTGAACATAGGACTAGGATTTGGGAATTGCTGTGTTTCAGGTCTAGATATGGCACTGATACACCGGGTGCCTGTTGTCATGTCTCTGAGTCTTGCTGCCTTGGGATCCTAGGTATGATAAGAAGATCAAGTAACTATAAAACACCACTGTAAGTGGAAAACATTGTCATTGCTGAGCATTGCTGTGGTGCTGGGAACTTGTATGGATGCTTCGTTCCAACACAGCAGCAGCTCCTTGAAGTCTGATTTGATCTAGAAGTGATCATTGAGCCTCGGCCTCAGGAAAACATGAAAAGGATGTGGATGGGTTGATCTAGGGAGGATCTACCACAGCTCCCCATGGGGTTGTGGATGCAGTGTCAGGCTGAATCTTTTAGCATGGTAGGGGGTATTAGGATGGGTTAGAGTTACAGAGTCAGACTTTGTTATGCATTCTCTGGGATCTCCGCTGGGGAAACACAACTTCATTAGTGTCAATGCTCACTGGTGAAACTGAGAGCAGAGCTGGGCACACAGTAGCCATGGCTTCTCCGGAGTTTGAATCGTCCTTGCCTAAAGCTGAGAGGTGGCAAGACATCAAGAGTTCCTTCAGACATTCCTTACAGTACACTGATAACCAGTGCCACAGGAAGCCAGTACTGGGCAGATCAGAATCTGTCCTCACGGTCACCTACCCATAATAGGACAAAGTGAGTCTGATCTCTCAGTCTCTTAGGTATGGTAAGTACAGCAAAGGGGGAGGCAGTGCTGGCCTGGTCTGTTGGATCGTGTTCTCAGTAATTGATCTGTTCCCTTCCCGGTGGTTCTTTGGAAGGTTGCACATGCTTTAATTATGTATGCATGTCCTGTCAATGCATATTAATTGTGTTACGCTTCTCCTCTGCAGAGGGAAACTCGCCCACAGCTGAAGTGTAACTAATGATGCCAAACCTTCTCTGGAGGCCTGTGGTGGTTTTTTTTTTGTTTTGTTTCAGTTCAGCCCTTCACCCTCCCTCCCTCTCTCTTCAGATGGAGTTGATTTGACCCTGCTCTGTGCCCATGGTTGTAATTTCCCCCACCTTCAGTTTTTGTGACTAACCTGGTTCTTGTCTCTGGTTTTTTTGGGTGTCGCCATCTGTGCTGTGGCCATGTGCTCACTTGCATGCAGTTGAGGAAAGGGCCTCCGGTGCCTCCGCCTCCAAAGGTCACCCCCTCCAAGGAGATCAAGCAAGAGAACATCATCAGTCTGTTTGATGACAATTTTGTCCCTGAGATAAGTGTGACAACCCCTTCGCAGGTTAGCTGCTATGCCCTGCCTTATACTTGTCTGCCTCTCAACTTTTTCTTCTGACATTTCTTCTCTTTGGAGGTGTCAAGCCATGAAACCTGGTCAGGTGAAGGAAGAGGGCAACCTCAGCACTGGGCTTTGAAAGGTGGTGGGTTAGATAGGAGGCTAACTTAGAGGGGAGGGTAGCCTGAAGGCAGCTTTGACAAACACGTTGCCCTTTGAGAGCCTTCATTCATGAAAGAAACAGGAGAAATGCAGCTGGTGAACGTGCCAGAAAGTAATCTCTGCATTTATTCAGCAGCAATACACATAGATTGCAGCTACCCTCGTATCCCAGGACATGCTCTCTCTAGAGCCATGGATCCTAGGTGTGGATGAAGCCTGCATTTTCTACTCTTGTACACCCCCAAGTGCTGACCCTGACATCTGTGCCAGTTCTAAGAGAGGGTAATTTTGTGCTCTCTGTGTCATCACACAGGGGCTTTGTGGTTTAAGACCCACACCTGCACGGGAAAGGCTAACAGGAATTGCATGAAGTTCTCTTTGCAGAGAATGATGCCTCCAGTTTAGAGAGCAGAACTGTGCCTGCTGTGAATTCCACACTGCTGACACAGTCTGTCACTCTTCACCAGCCAGCAGTTCCCACCAGAATATTTCTTTCTTGGTACATAGCACATTTTAAAGCCCTGAAAAAAGAAAAACATTTTCAAATTATGTGTTTGATGTATGTCATTGCAAGAGAGGATGCACAGCTAGAGAATTCTGTGTTGGATCTAGAAGAATGACAGTGCTTATATATATATATATTATATATAAGAA